CCTTCCGGTGCTTTTTCGGTACCCATTGCCTCCCTTTCCTTTTGCTGATCTTGTTAATTTGGTCGGTGGTGGTTGCCCATCTGGTAGCCTTTTTCACCCCTTTTCACCCCTTTCACCATGAGGATCTTTTACGGTGATCCTCTTTTTTGGTGACTCAGTACTGCTCTATTTGGATTAGCGTTAACAATCTAGCCTTTTGATATTCCCACTCTTATCCTAGTCTTATCTCGTTTTAGCTGGTTTTAGTTGAAACTTGGTCACCTGCAGGTCCCGTTTTGGTAGGTAACGCCTCTGCGATTAATAGCCCCTCTGTGCAGGATCTATTGTTGTTGGGAATGCATTCTTCATGTTCTGACCATCCAAAAACGGATGGCGATGTGACTTCTTTTTAGTAGACAATGACTTAACGGTTGGATACACCAATGGGCACAAAGGGTAACATACCACGTACTGAAGTTGTTTCCCCTGCCAGTAGTAGATTGTAAAGTACGTCACTTCCCAACCTGGAGCACCGGTTGCCTAATTGGAACCTTGGACTTGGTTCGGAAGGAGAGGTTGGGATGTGCTTCCCAAACGAGACCTGAGGTCTCGTTTTCAGAATTACCTACAATTGCGCTTCTTAGATGTAGCGAATGTCTTATTCTATTTATGAGTGAGACTTACTTTATCTCACCGCTTGGGGTGAACTTCTCCCCCAAAGTCTTTACGAGGAATGGTTGGTGTGTCACGGGGAATTGAAGACCATAACTCCCCCGGAACTGGTGTTTCAGTTGGATGTTCCACGATCTACTAGGAAACTGAATGCTTACGAAGAATTGGGGTTAAGTCGTTGGCGACGTTCCTTGATGTATTTCCAGTTTGCTTCGAAACGGACGTTGTGGATCGCATCGCGATTGAAAACCAGCTGTGCAGGCGTTGCACGCAAGGTGGTTTGAATCGTGGCATTCATTGCAAAGCGAACCGCCGTGAGGACTCCATCCCAGGATCCATTCGCGAGGTCATCTTGGCTCTTGATATTTTGGACTGCTATCAAGTTACGAATGGTCTGATGAGCACGCTCGACCATCGAGTTGGCTTGAGGGTTACGCGTAGTGATGAACTTGCGATGAAGTCCATATTCATCCCGGAGAGTCTTCTCGACTTCTGCGCGGAACTCGCGTCCTCTATCCATGATAACCTCAGCAGGCCATGGATACCGAGTAAGCCACGTTTGTTCTAGGACGATGGCTACTTCGTCTGCTGCCTTGGAGCAGATCTCTGCAATCTCGAACCATCCGGTGACGGGATCAATCATTGTTAGACAATGAAGTGTGCAGGAATTCTTTTCTTAGGATCCCTGACATTGTATGGACCTATCAGGTCGATACATAGTCTTTCCCAAGGGATCTCCTCGCAAGTCTTTGGAGGAAGCAATCCCAGCTTGCGCGTCTTGGGTTTGTTCAATTGGCAGCTTTGGCAACGCTGACATACGGACTGAATGATGAATTGAGCAGTCACTCTCTGGCTGAAACAGATGGCATTACTAATGCTAAAATCCAACATGTGAATTGAGGGCTCTACTACACGCAAGCGCCCACCACCAGTGACCGACAGTATTCATACTGTTCCGGATGAGCTGGTGGCACCACACAGGTTCTTGACAGGATGTATGGATGTGTTTTATGTCAGTGAAATTGCTTTTCTTGCATTCACTGACTTGCAGATCCGTCACAGGGAATCAGCCTACCTGACCAATCGGAAAGGCAAATCTTTTTATGCTGCCATTGACAAGATCTTTGACAGGTATGGAAACAATGACTTCAAGATCAAAGAAGTACAGTGTGACTTGGAATTCAAAAGCCTCATGGATCCCATCAAGAATGACATGGAGCTTATGCTCAATCATGGGGCGGCTCAGACCCACAGTGGTCCTGTCGAGCGCAACATCAGAACCTTGAAGGAGCGCATCCGCGCAGCCTGGCATGCAACACCATTCCTGGTGATGCCAAAGGTGATGATTATTGAATTGGTGTATGATGTAAATTGCAAACTCAACCTCTTCCCAGCGCTTGATGGAATTTCCAAGGTGTATCCTCCCAGGCAGATCTTGGAGGGTCGGACCACCAGCTACAGGGATATTCAGTACTCTTTTGGGAGCTACTGTCTGGCTTCCAACGAGCCCGACAAGCTCAATTCCATGGAGCCACGGAGGTTGGACTGCATTTATCTCCATCCCCTGATGGACAACCATCAAGGTGGGCACAGTGTGATGGATCTCGTGACCTTTGAAGTGATCACGCGCCAGTTTGTCCGAATTATGCCGATTCCTCGTTCAGTGATTGATGCTGTCAAGAAAAAGGCATACGGTGAGGGCAAGAAGCCTCTAATCTTCCACAACCACAATCATGTGGAATTTTTGCCTGTCGGTTTGCCTGCAGGAGTGGATGGTGTCAACAGAAATGAGAGTTACATGCAAGTCTATGGAGACTCCAGTTCAGACGAAGAAACAGTGGAATCCGAGGAATCAGATGAAGATTCTAAGGATGGGAACGCCCCAGGGCAAGTACCAAGGGCATCCAAACAGTATGCTCCAGACATTGCTTCCGATGAAGAAGGAGAAGAGGGATTCCAAGGAATCCCAACAAGCACAAGTCCAGACAAACCAACAGTCGAAGAAGCGGCACCAGCAGTGGATACCAGCCCAATGATGGAAACCTCGCAGGGCCAGACAAAGCATCCAAGCTTCCTAGAGTTGGAATTTGGCGCTCAGCTCGGATTGCTACAGCCGAAGCTAGCAAGAAAGGAGTGACCTTCGTCCAAGATGATGAAACGAAGCAGCCACTACTTTATGAGACCGAGACAAGCAAGCACTTGGCACTGTTCATGGACTCCATTAATCACAGGAGTGCCACGGCAGAAGTCCAAAATGAGAGCAGCCTAGCTCAACAGCACTTACTACTTTTAAGGGTCTGAAAGTGTGGGGCAACAAAGCCAGAGAAGCGGTGCTCAAAGAAATGGATCAACTCCACAGTCGTGTTTGTTTCAGCCCAATTGATCCGAACCAGTGCAGTGAATCTGAATTGAAGAAAGCCCAAGTGGCTCTCATGTTTGTGACTGAGAAAAGGGATGGCACGGTCAAGGCCCATGCAGTCTACAATGGAAAACCTACAAGGGTGTACCATCAGAAGGAAGATGCCAGAAGCCCAACAGTGTCACTTGAAGGTTTGATGCTGTCTATGTGTGTCGATGCATCTGAAGATAGGGATGTGATGTCATTGGATGTCCCCAATGCCTTTATCCAAACTCCAATGCCAGTTGTCAAACCCGGTGAAGACAGGGTCCTCATGATCATTGAGGGAACCCTTGCAGACCTACTTGTGGAGATTGACCCTGACACTTATGCTTCATTCTTGACATACAAAAAGGGACGTCCTGTCCTCTATGTTGTCGTGGAGAGAGCCATTTATGGCATGGTTTTGGCGGCTCTGCTCTGGTGCAAGCTCTTCAGGAGTGACCTGGAGGAAATTGGATTCGTGTTTAATCCGTACGATCCATGTGTGGCCAATAGGATGATCGAGGGCTATCAGCAAACAATACGATTCCATTTGGACGACTTGATGTCGAGCCACAGGATGAAGCTGGTGAACAACCGCACTCTGGGGTGGTTCAACACAAGATATGGAACCTATGGAGCCGTCAAGGCAACCCGTGGTCCCAAGCATGACTACTTGGGGATGACAGTGGACTTCTCAGAACCAGGAAAGGTGATCATCAACATGATAGATTACATCAAGAAGATGGTATCGGAATTCCCAGTGGACTTCGAGCAGATGAGGAAGGTATCAAGTGCAGCTCCTGCTGATCTCTTCAGCTCTGGTGATGGAACCGCCCTGAATGACAAAACCAGGGAAACTTATCACACCTTTGCAGCCAAGCTACTGTTTTTGTGCAAACGTGCCAGACCAGATGTGCAAACTCTAACAACTGTCTTATGCACTCGTGTCAAAAGCTCAACATCTGATGACTGGGACAAGTTGGTGCAAGGACTGAAGTTCCTAGATCAAACTGTGGAAGACAAGTTGATTCTACACATTGATGATATCTGTATCATCACTTGGTGGGTGGATGCTAGTTTTGCAGTCCATCCTGATTACCGTTCACACACAGGAGGAGTCATGTCCTTTGGAAGTGGAGCGGTGTTGTCTGTGTCCGCGAAACAGAAACTCAACTCAAGAAGCAGCACGGAAGTGGAGCTGATTGGAGCAGACGACGTCATGTCGCCTATGTTGTGGGCCAAGTTGTTCCTTGAAGAGCAGGGGATCGTTGTCAAAGACAAAATCCTTATGCAGGACAACAAGAGTATAATCATTCTTGCGGAGAACGGCAAGAGCAGTTTGGGCAAGAGGACTCAGGCCATCAACATTCGTTTCTTTTTCATCCAAGATCAGATTGAGAAGGGCAACCTCAGAGTTGTCTACTGTCCCACCTTGGAAATGCGTGGAGACTTTTTTACCAAGCCCCTTCAGGGCAAGCTCTTTCATGAGCACAGGGCCTTCATGGGGCATCCGCCTCTTGTTTGAAAACCCAATTACTTAATTATTCGTTCCATGGTAGCCATTAGGGCACCGTGCAGGAGTGTGTTGGAGGATATATTCCCCATACCTCAAATTATTATTGACTCGTGTATTAAACATCTAGTCCAGTTTGCATGCATATTCATGAAGCAGGAACCAAGGGAGTCTTAGGTTTAAAGTGTTGCGGGGGTCCTCATATGCAATTCAATCACAAGAATTGCTATGCACCACCAGAAAATCCTCACTTTTGCTTTTCAGCTTTTAAAACCAAAAACCAAATTACCCCTCAATAAGCTGCAGTATTACTAGGAAACAACACAGGCGTGCTGCTGCTCGACACGGAGATGCAGTGGCTGGATTGTATAGCCAGCCAGCCTTTGGTGAACTGAGGTTTACTATATTGATAACAAATCCCAAGCTCCAAGGTACATGCAGCTTGTGGAGAAGATGGCTGACTATTGTGGAGAGTACATCAGCGAGGAAATATTTACACTGGTCAAGAAAAAGAAGGAAACTACATGGGATGATCCAGATGATCCTGGAAAGGATGCTACTCAAGGTCAAAGAGAGAAATACAAGATGGAGCTTAGTGAAGCTAAGGAAAACAGAAAGACTTACAAGATGGTAATGGCAAACTGTACTCCCGTATTGAGAGATAGACTTGTTGCTCTCACTGTCTATGACGAGTGGGAAGACGAGGACAATGTTGTCAAATTATTGGAGAAAATTGAAAAGCTTGCTTGCTTACAGTCAAGACGAAGACAGTCAGTATAGACCGATGGTCGTCGCAGTAGCACTGAAACGACTGTATACGATTGTTCAGGGCAAGAACGGACAGAAGTTTGTCCGTGAGATGGAAATGGTGGTTGTGCATGCTTATCCCTCAGTCGTGTAAGGGAAAGTCGGTGCCTAACCAGTAACTTGGCGCCAAGCGTCATGTCGTGAGTTTGTTTGGACCGAAACCAGCACCAACCGGCTATTGGCGAACTACACAATATGCACAACAACCATAGTAAAGAGTGGCCGGAGGATGTTCCGTCCATGATTGCGTGGATTACGAATTTCCGTGGAGAGTCAAATGACAATAAAAAACAGATGCAAGATGCCCTCAGCTCAGGTGTCTCAGCCACCAGTTTTTATCAGAATGCCCGTTGCGGAGGGCGAGGCGAGTGCTTCTACTGCAAGAAACCCGGGCACATCAAGAAGGACTGTCCCAAGTGGAAAAAGCCAAGCAGCAGCGCGAGGCTGCTGGCCACGGCGACGATGCCGCAAGCACCACATCGGCTCGCTCCAGCACCAGCACCAGGAGTGCAATGAGCCGTGGTGTGCGCACCTTGCCCAACGGGATGCCAGATCCCTGGGGCTAGGCGGTGTTAGTTAGGGCAGGTTGGATACGCCACCCATCCGGTATGAGACCACCTGCGGGCCCTATTTTAACTATTTGTTTTTTCTTTATTATAGGCGAACGGCGATTTCGAGTTAAGCGTGGTTGCTCGACAGGAGTGTGTTGGGCGGAAACTAGCTACGCTGATTCCTTTATTATATTACTAATATTAGCGTGTCCCAAATAGTGAAGTTTCGACGTTTTTTTCATGTTTCGACTTATGTTTCATGAAACTTTTGTTTTTGGGAACTCGAAACATGAAATTTCGACTTTTTTCCAATTTGCTGTCAAAAAGTCAAAACATGAAATTTCCAGTTTCGACTTTCTTTTATGGTTAAGGAGGATATCCAAAAGTGGACCCAAAGTCGAAACAGAAACTTGAAACGCGAAAAAGTTTATTTGGGACACACCGGCAAAAGCAATAATTTTGACCATGAAACATGAAATCGAAACTCGAAATCGAAACTCGAAACTTCACTATTTGGGACACTGTATTATTTAAGCTGGAGGCAGTCTTTATGACTCTTCTCATACTTTGTATTAAACTCAAGTAAGAAGCCTTATCACAGACATTGTCTTTACTGTTGTAGTCCAACAATAGACGTCTCTTTGCATTGATTAGCATGCACTACAGCCTGTTGTTTGCTAGTAGTGTAATACTACTGCAGCTTCTTGGGGAGTAATTTGGTTTTTGGTTAAGCTGAAAAGGAAAAGTGAATTTTTTTCTGGTGGCTGAAAGCAATTCTTGTGATTGAATAGATATAAGGATGCACGCAACACTTTAAGACCTAAAACTCACTCCCCTTGAGACGGTGTAGCCATTTATAATATGCGAATCGTACTAGATTGTGTAATATAATACACGAGTCTCAATGATAATAATATATGAGGTATGGAGAATATATCCTCCAACACACTCCTGCACGGCCTAATGGCTACCGTGGAACGAATAAAAAAATTGGGTTTTCAAACAAGAGGCGGATGCTCATGATGAAGGCCCTGTGCTCATGAGAGCTTGCGGGCTTGGTGAAGAAGTCTCCACGCATCTCCAAGGTAGGACACAATAGACGACCCTGAGGTTGCCCTTCTCAATCTGATCAGGATGGTGCTGGTTGGCGTTTGGTTGCACGCATGTCGATTCTATCTACCTAAAAATGCGCGTTGATGTAGACTATCCCGTTCCATGCACTAATAAGTTTTCTGTGACTTGGATCATTTTTCTGTTGTATCTGCCTTCCGTTTTACACCACTCACCACCACATTGAGCGATTATGCACATCGAAATAATGCTTGTGCCCTGGGCATGCACAACTCGCTCGTTTTCCGAGATGCTTGCCAGATTGCAGCAGATGAAGGAAGTACAAGGAGATTCGAAAAATGTCACCATCTTGCATGTCGTTTCTTGCTTAGTTTTTAAAAGTAAGACAGGCCCTTGCCTTGAGCTTGTTACATGTATGCGATTCTTCACTGTCTTCTTCCGATGGATGGGCAAGAGGATCAGCAAGGAAGCGTGGCTGTGGTACTTCAGCATACCTGAGCTAGACGGGTATCAATCTTCACTTGGTTGGGATTCTTTTGTTGAGGAAGAGGAGCAACTCGGGTACCGATGATTAGCTCTCTTCGGTCGCCTGCTCAAACCCATTGTGTTTCAAACCCATTGTGTTTCAACCAATCTGCATTCGTCCCACTTTCTGCTGCATCTTGCCTTCCTTCATCTTACTGTCATCATCGGTAACTACGTTGGTGAGACAAACTGCCTTGTCGAACTACAGATCTTCAGCGATGCATTTTCAACAATGAAGAAGCTTCCATCATCTGCGCCATAATCGTGATGTTCGGTATCTCCTCCGTAAGTTGCCGCTTGACCGTACAGATTTTGCAGAAGGTGCACTTAGTAGACTTATTGGCTCCCTTGTCTTCGCTCCCACCAAAACAGGCATAACCGGAGTGAGAATCAAAGTCTTGGCGCTAGATTTTTTGTTCCAACCTATGCCGTGGAGGTTCCTATGTAGTAGGGAATCTCTATGCTGTCGCGCCACATCTTCAAGTTGTCTTCCCTCTCAATGATGTGAGCCTTCACCTCTTTCATCAGGTTGTCATGCAGAGAGGAGCTACCTGCCGCTCTATCCGGGAGAATGTTCTCCTTGCCACTGAATTGGCTCCACGCAAGGCTAGAAAGCCAAGGATCAACTTTAGAAGAAGATCCTTGGTTGAGACGGTCCCTATAATCTGCCGTGGTGGTCTAGCTTCCTCAAAGCGTTGTTGCTCCTCTTGCTGGTGTCCATGGTTGGTACTGCTGTTGTCGGTATTGATATGCTGATGACTTCATTCTGCACGAAATTGGTAATGCCGACACATTCATCGAAGAGAAAATTTTGAGTACCACGATCTATCTTGTCTGTTGGGTTTTGTTGTTTCCCGACAAGATAGAAACGGAACAGCGCGAGCACGGCTCTGCAATTCAGGAAGGATTCATTCATGAGTGCTAAATGGGGCGAAGGAAGACTTCAACTGAATGAGTGCTAAATGGGGCGAAGAAAGACTTCAACAGCAGTTGAAAGTCAATCGTGACAACAACACTGGCATCTATCTATCTAATCCTCAGGATGCCATTGGCAAAAGTATAGCTGCCGTACGCAATTTACCGCTCACCTGTGGAAGAATATATGCAAGATCAAAACCATTAGCCCTTGCGAAGAGCTTTGAACCGGCAGTTTTGCATCAAAATGTAGCAACTCCAATCCATACTTGCACAAATCCCAATTTTTATGGATTTCTGTTTTGATAGTCTCGTTCAGAGTGCTAGAGTTAAGACAAAAACACTAAGTTTATTGAAGCTACGCAGTCAATTTGCAATCCACTTGAGCAAAACACTTGGTAGCAGAAAGCTTTCTTCGCTGCCCATAGCAATGTATAGTTGCTTATCTCAGGGTAAATTATTAATCGGATCACCTTTTCTTGACAAAGGTTCTTTATGCATCTCGAGTGCCATTTTGCAGCGGTTATAGAGACGCCAAACCTGTAGTGAGGGAAAATAGAATAGAGCAATACTCAATCGGCTCTGCCACTGCCGCTCGCCTAGCTGGTAACTTTGCACTGGAACCGCAACCACAGGAAGTGATGGATCCATCCTTGAAGACTTATCAACAGTTGCGCTACTCTCTGTTCCGATTTTGGCTCTAACTGAAGCCCCTTCCTTCATACCGTCCAATCACCAAGTGACTGAAACCCCTTCATCTGGACCAGTACCTCCGATGTTGGCTCTATCTGAAGCCCCTTCCTTCATACCATTCAATTACCAAATGACTGAAACCCCATCAGCTGCACCAACACTCATAAATCTTCCCCTACCAGAGTACACTCTGCAAGCCTTGAATAATCCTCGATCACCCCAGTCCCTTGCCTTGGACTGGCTGTTTGAGGATCCCAAGCAACTTGAATACTCAACATCCAAACAAATACAGCTGTTTGCTCTGGCTACATTTCATTTTGCTTTGAATGGAGAACTATGTATGAACAGAACTAATTGGCTGTCATATGACTTTGATGAATGTCTGTGGCATACCGACTTGGAGCCACAGGAACGAGTCTCTGTGACAGCAACAACTCCTTTGCAGGATTCCGAGTACCAAGCTTTGGTTATGCACACCAATGACATGGTTGGTAATCTGCCAAAGGAAGTACGTTGGGCAGACTAGGGCGATTGACATGTCTCAAGATGGACAAGAATTGGTTCCATGGATCAATTCCATCTGAGTTTGGGAGGATGGAGAATATCCAGCACATCTATCTCTCCTGAAACAACTTAGTGGCCCTCTTCCAAGTTACTTGGGTGTCTTGTCAAATCTGGAACTTCTCAGTGTTCATTCCAATGCAATCTCGGGAACTATTCCAACTGAGCTTGGATTGCTGCACAAGCTTCAAAAACATATCTCAGCAACAACCAGTTCACTGGAGTGCTGCCATTGGAACTAATCACTGAGCTGACTACCTCATCTCTGCAAATTCTTGACCTTGGGCAACAACAAGATTTCAGTATCCCTCCCTGCTTCACTGGGGCTATTGACCAATGTACACACATTTGACTTGGCAATAAAATCACAGGAAGTCTCCCAACTGAGCTAGGTTTGCTGAAAAATGTTTCGTCTATTCTTCTAGACTCAAACAACTTGACTGGGACAGTTCCCTCACAACTTGGGCTCCTGACAAACTTGGATGCGTTGTCATTGGAAAACAATGCTTTCTCGGGGTCACTGCCTGAAGAGATCTGCAACTTGAAGATGATCAATGAAAACATCATCATTCTGGTGGACTGCAGCGATGTTTCCTGCAGCTGCGAATGCTGTGGTTGTAACTGTGGCATTACATCTGGCAGTGGTGAAGTCAGCCTGACATCAAGAGTTGCAACTGATCTGCACCAGTCAACACTTCTATAATGACTTTATACTAAAAAGCCCTTGAGAGTGTCCAGTCTATTGAACATGAGGGCTGTTTCCAAACTGTTTGAGGTCTCACATAGCTTTTTGTTTTGGCTATGCTAGCTAGCTTGCCAAAGTGTACCAGCATAGGCCACATCATTGTAAAGGTTTCCATTGGCTTCAGTTCATTATCCAGAGAAAGCGGGACAGACAGCCGTCTACAGTAGGTCGGTGCCCTCGACCTGCATTTTGCTGTCGAAAATGATTCTACAATAAAGCGGGAGCACAACAAACATTACACACGCGAGTAACCAATGAGGGGCAAGTTCAAAATTATATCAAATTGGCTAAAATAATAACTGCACAGGAGAAGAGAATATGTCTACTTCCTTTTCCCACTTCCATATAAAGAAACGAATCTTCAACTGTAGTTCGTTTTGCAATTCAGAAACTACTCATACGATTTTAGCAAAAAGTAACTGGATTGAGGAGGTCATCAACAGCCAAATCGCTAA